AGGGGTCACCCTCTGCACCCCGGGGTGGGGGTGGGGTGCAGATTGTGCTTCTGCTGTGGATGGGGCGGTGCGGTTGTGCTTCTGGCACGCAGCACAGGCCCTGGCAGAAGTCTTATAATTAGAAATAAAAAAAACAGAGCAGAGATAGCGTGGCCGTGCAACGCAGGCATCAGAGTGCTCAGGAGGCTGAGGCAGGAGGATTGCTGAAGTTCAAGGCCAATATGGGCTCCGAGGTGAGACCCTGCTTTGGAAAAAAAAAAACTAAAGATAATGTGTGTTTGTATTTTTCTTTGGGGATGGAACCCAGGCTCTGTCTTGCAGGAGCCCTGCCGCAGACGCGGAGGAATTTGCAGGTGTCACTGCCCACTCTGGGCACCGCCTGTTTACCCTCTGGCCTGCGTCCCTCCCCTTCCCGTGGAGTGCAGCTTTCTCACTGGGGTGAAATCAGGTTTGTCAGCTTTCCCTTCGTTGCCTGGGCTGTGGCTTCTGAGAAACCATCAGCTCACTGGACGGGAGGACCTGATTCCCGGCGGAACACCCCCCCTCCCCAGCCCCTCAAGGGTCACAGGCTTTGCTCTCACTGGGAGGAAGCCAGGGCCTTGAACCCGCAGACTGCACTCACCACCGAGCCACACCTCAGGCCGGTGTTTCACTTAATTTTTTACTTCTAGACGCATTGAACTACTCTTGTTTCTTCCTGTGTGTAGCAGTGTGCAGTGATCACCGCCATCATGGGCAGATCACCTCTGGACAGATTTTTTTTGTCCCTGCCCTCCCCTCCCTGCTCCTTCCACCTCATGGTCCTTTCCTGTGCACAAAAGCGCTATTTCTGTTTATTTCTTTTTTCCTCTCTTCCCTATGCCCGCTCTCCATCTCATGACCGTCTAATCATTTGCAAAAGGTCTCCCTACATCCTGTTACCTGTCTTTTATTTTGCTCTTTACATTTTTGGTTCTCACACAAGGGAAGCCTTGCAATATTTAAGCTCGTGTGTCTAATTTGTTTCACTTGATACTATAGGCTCAGGCTGGCCAAGAGTTTCTCCTGTCTCAGCCTCCTGAGTAGTTGAACTACAGATATACAGCACGGAGCCCAGGAGGAATACATGTTAAAAAGACCTTCGCAACTGCTCTTCGGGGAGTGAACTTTGGGAGTCCAGGAGAGGGGTCTGGAGACTGCCGAGGCCTCCACAGGACTGCTGTACTCTTGGCCTTGGGTTATCATAGGTGACATGAAAATGGGCCCACGTCTGATTTCTCGAGGGGAGTTGACAGATCTTCCATTCCTTGGTATGGGGTTTCAGGAAACGGACCCAAGGATCCTGGCCACACTTAGGTGTGCAGAGCCGGCTGGGCAGACAGACCTTGCAGCTGGGGTGGGGAGGTTGGGGAAGGGTTTCAAAGAAGAGCTATGTTTCCATCAGGTTACGCTGAAAATCTTCACATTCCTCAAGAGGCGGCGCCACACAGGCAGCTGGGTTTGGGGAACTGGACTCCCAGCTTCTTGGGAGGCTGAGGCAGGAGGATTGCAAGTTTGTGCCCAATGTGGGCAACTTAGCAAGACCTTGCTTTGAGTTTTTTAAAAAAGGAGGCCAGGTTTGGTGCTCAGTAGTGCACCCCTGCTTTGATCCCCAGAATGAGGAGCCACAAAACAGTTCCAGGAGAGAAATGTGCGAAACACAGAGGGGATAAGGGTAGCCCAGGCTGGGGTGGGGAGAGAAGGGACAGGATGTAGAAATAGTCACTGAAAACCCTTCTGTGCTTTATTGTGGAGGAGAGCGAGAAAGTGTAGGTGCATTCATCATGGGTGGCTTCAGACTCGAAGTGATCCTCCTGCCTTAGCCTCCCGAGTGCTGTGTGTCACCCTACCTTGCACCAGAAATATTGACTTCTAAATGCAATGAAAAGTCTGGGAATAGGTCATTTCAGTGTCCATATTTCCCAACCTCTCCATTGACCAGACCAACCAAAATGACTGTATTTCTTTCTCAAACCACAGCTGGTCACCTCACTGTGGTCAGATCACCTCACATGTGCCTCAAAAATCCAACCCCTAGCTAGGCATGATGGCTCACGCCTATAACCCCAGCATTGGGGAGTCTGAGGCAGGAGGATTATTGCAAATTTGAGACCAGCCTGGGCTACAAAGTGGGCTCAAGGCCAGCCTGAACTACATAGTGAGATCCTCTCAAAAAGACAAAAACCAAACAAAACTCACCCCCCCCCCCCAAACCCAACCCATGCCCCTCTTCCCTGAGGTGCGGGGAAGCCCTGTTCCTCTCAGGGCCAAGGTGCCCCTCAGGGGCCGCCTCACCTTTAACCCCTGCATCTTCCCTAAGAGGCGCCTGGTAGGACCTGAGTGCTGTGGGCAGGGTCTTCATGCTTTGCAACCACTCTGGCCAGCCTCTTCTACACACCCTGGCAGGCGCAGGCACAGCTACAGAGGTCAGACTGGCAGAAGGGAGCCGGTATGATGGCGCATCCCTGTCATCCCAGCACTCTGGAGGCTGAGGCAGGAGGATCACTGAGTCTGAAGCCAACCGGGGGTACATGGTGAGACCGTCTCAAAAACAAAAAAACGAGGGCTGGGGATTTAGCTCAGCGGCAAAACCACCACACATACTGGGTTGTTTTCCTTAAGCACATTTTTGAGAGAACCTAACCTAATGTAACGTTTGAAATGAAAATTTCCCTCTTGAGGGACAGCAGAACTCAACTGCCTCAAGGTTATGAAGGGGCCACAGGCAGAGTGAGCGCAGCCAGGTGAGAGCCGTGCGAGGGTCTTGGCCAGGGCCGCCACCTGTCCTCCTTCCTGGCGGTTACTCCGGCCGGATAGGGAGCAGGGAGGCGCCACCAGTGCCGGTGCCATGGTGCTCGGGGCATCGTACCCAGGACCCCTTCCCGCCTTGGATGCTGCATGGGGGGAGGGGTGCTCCGCGTGGGGCAGCATTTGGGGATTATGTCCCAGGGTCTTGCCCTGCAGGCTGGCCTCGAACTCGTGGCGACGACGGGCCATAATCCTGAAAGCAAGAGCGTGAAAGCCGGTCAGAGCCTGGTTTGTGGCTCTGAACCTAAGCAATATCTTATTTTTCAAATTTGTAGCACGAATCAGACAGAACGGGTCTCCAGCCCGGGATGAGCGCCGAGATCCAGTACCGTCCAGCCCCGACCCGGATCTCTCAACGCCCCCTCAGGCGTTGCAGCGGCATACTGCAGTCTTGAGCCCACCCCCTCCGCGGCGGCCAGCCAATCGTCGCTATGCTCCGCCTACGGGCGCGCCTCCAAATCGTTCTGATCCAATAAGCGTCCTGCATCGTCTTCGAGGCACGCCTCAAAGGCCCAGACTCTTTGGAAGTTGCTAAGGCAACGGCGCCGGCCTTCTCCACCTTCCTCCTAGGGGAAAGCGGGTCTGAAGCCGGCTGGGTCTGAGTCCCTCCAACACTTAACTAGCCCTCGGTCTACCTGGGTCCCCTACAGCTGCCTCATCCTCCTTAGGCGAGTATCACTAGGGCTCCCTGTTCCTCCTTTGGCCCAGGTCCAGCTGTTCCTGATGGTGAACGGGAGGCACTGAATTGTTCCCTCTAATGCAGAAGTATCGCTCACCACTGCAGAGGGGTGGAGGGATTCAGTTGACCTCGCCGGATTGTCTTAAGATGCCAGGATTGGGTGCGTGTGGTGGCGCATGCCTGTGAACTCAGCATGCAGGAAGGAGGCTGAAGCAGGAGAATCCCTGGGGCTTCTAGGTCAGCCTGAATTACATAACCAGGTTTTGTCAGAAAATGCAAGGCGGCCTGGGAAACTCAACCCTCGGTTTTACCAAAAAAAAAAAAGCCAGTGGTTGTCAACTGAACAAAGGGTGTTAGCTGATTGCCCTGAAGTGCACCTAGTTAGAACTGGTGGGGGACTCTACAGGGGACGGCAGGGGCTGGAAACCAGCGGTGCTAGGCTTGGTCTTTAGCTGGAGTGACAGGAAGTCACAGAACAAGTGCTGGCCACAAGTGCTGGTCACAATCAGGGGTGGCTGGGTAGCAGCTTTCAGAGAACTTGCAGGGGGGCTCACTGAAGGCTTTGAGGCCCAGCAGAGACAAAACCTGATGGTACCAGCAGAGGAGAACCAGACAGAAAAGTGGATTGGACAAGATCCCAAAGGAGAAGCCAGGAGGCTGAGGCAGGAGGACTGCCAGTAGGGAGGCCAGCCTGGACTGCATAGTGACACCCTGTCTCAAAAATACAAACAAAACAAAAAGATTCTAAAGGAAAACCTGGAGGGGCTGATGTTAGAGCGCTCAAAGCAGCAGGGGACACAGGGCTGACTTTTGGAGCCCCCAGGGATCGGCTGGCTGCCAGAGAACCCAGGGTGCTATGTTCACCCACTGGCCATGGAGGCCTGCGTTCTGGGATGTGTTCGGGAGGGTATGGGCATCACCTCTGGACACCCAGGCCTAGGCAGCGGTTCAGATGTGTGCTGATTTTCATCAAGGACCTCTGAGGCTAAGGCATGGCCCTGTGTGTCCACAGGGAGCTCCTGACCCTGAAGTGCCTGGCAGGATGCCACCCCATACTGCCAGGGGGTGCACAAGGAGCCTCGCCCATGTGATGCTCTGGGGGCGCTGTGGGCTGAGAGCTGCTGTGCCCAGGTTGTGTAACCAGGGCAGATCTTGGCCTCCCTGATCGACTTCCCTCCTAGGAAAAGCAGAACACATGGGCCACAAGAGGTGGGGGAGAGGGGTGCTGACTGCTCAGCAGTGCGTGGGTCACATCAGAGGGGCTCGAGGCAGCTGTCAAATCCTACACTCTGCTTCCTGTGCTGACCTGCGTGTAACTGTGATATGGATGGTGGGGTGTGTGGTGACACAGAGACGGCTAGATCCAGGACCTTGAGCAATCTGGACTCAGCAGGGTCTGGTGGTGCGCACCTGTCAACCCAGCATGCAGGAGGCTGAGGCAAGAGGATCACTGTGAATTCAAGGTCAGCCTGGACAGTATGACAAGACACTTACCTCAAAGAACCAAACAGATACAATGAGCACATGCAAAAAATGACGCACAGGAGCCAGAGGGAGTGAGACTGGGGTTCACTCCAGGTTCCAAAGGAGGGAAGGGAGGAAAGAGATGTCGTGGCAGTGACAGCCAGCCGTACCCGGGGGAGGACCAACAACAGGCCCTGCTGCAGGTGACAAATCCAGGACACTGTGGGCAGAGGAGTCTGAGCTGGTGACAAACGCATGCTTTGGAGACTCAGAGTGGAAACATTTTCTTCCAGTATCACATCTTCCCAGGGGATCCCAGGCCACCCTGCAGGCTGAAAAGAGGAGCGCCCAGTCCCCCTGCCCCCCTGCAGCTCAGATTCAGCACCCCTGAATGTATCAGCAGGGGTGTCAGTCTCAGGACACAGTGCTCCCATGGGCCGCCCTGTCTTCTGTCACAGAGGGCAGATGGACCGAAAGAGCCCGCATCTGTCTCCTTCTCTCTCTTTCCTGTTTTTTGTGGCAAGGTCTCCCTTTGTAGCCCAGGCTGGCCTTGAAATCACTTTGATCCCCTTCCCTCCACCTCTTGAGAGCCTGAATGACAGATGTGCACCACCGTGCCTGGCTGGCGCTCACATCTTATACCTCTAGCAGCCACTGTACCACATGAGGACCTGGTCCACAGTGGTTACCAGGATGTACTGTAAAAAACCGAACATCCTTGAAAAGAGCCTGAAACCTGAGATGAGCAAGAAATAGCCAAATGTGGGGCTGGAGATTTAGCTCAGCGGCATAAGTGCCTGCCTTGCAAGCAGGCGGTCGTGAGTTCAATCCCCGGTACCGATAAAAAGGAAAAAGGCCAAAAAAAAAAAAGAGAAATAGCCAAATGCCCACCCCTGCCTGACTCTCCCAGGTGCTGCCAATTGCCTATGTCATGGGACTGGGCCGAGCAGGGTGCCCTCCACCTCGGAGTGGCCAAGGCTACAGGGTGGAGTCCATGAGGGCATGGCCATTCTCGGGAAGCTCCAGGCGTGTGCTGGCCCCGGTGCGGATGGAGGCCCGGGCCCGGGCGGCCTCCCGGGCCGAGCGGCGCAGGCACAGGCAGCAGAGCAGGCGGCGGAAGGTGCGGCGCATCTCGGCGTCCCGACAGGAGTACACGGCAGCGTTGACCAGTGAGTTGGATTCAGCCAACAGCAAGAAGTACTTCTCCACGGCCAGGACGTTGCAGGACTTGCAGTCCAGGCCGTCCAGGAGCAGCACCACCTGGCCTGGTGTCCAGCAGACCACGAAGGCCCCTGGAGGAGGGAGGCAGCGGTGAGCAGGGGCCAGCAGGCCGAGGTGGTCCGGGAGCCCCGCAATGGGCAGTGGCTGCCATCCCTGCTGCCCCCAGTGAGGTAGGCAGAACCTCTAGGGGGGCAGAGCTTTCTTACTGCTACGGGGTGGCAGGGCCCCTGCTGCTTCACTGTGGAGATTTGTCAGCACGGAAGGAATGGTTACTGTGGGAGGTTGGGTACCTGGGGGACAGGGATCATTAGTGACAGTCCCTCCCTGTTCTGGGGCAACAGGGTGTCCTCATCCCGTTCCTTCTACATCCTGGTAGCCAGGGACACCACAGTACTCCCTGCCAGAAACTCTTAGGAGCTAGGCGCACCCCTGTAATCTCAGCTGAGAGGGAGGCTGAGACAGGAGGACCACAAGTTTGAGGCCAGTGTGAGCAACTTAGTGAGACTTCATCTCAAATTAAAAAAAGAAAAGAAAAAAAAAGCTGGGCACGGTTGTACATTCTCATAATTCCAACTACCTAGGAGGCCGAGACAGGAACTTTGCAAATTTGAGGCCAACATGGGCAATTCAGTGAGACCCTGTCTCAAAATAGAAAACCTGTAATCTCAGCACTCTGGGAGGCTGAGGCAGGGGGACTGCATGCTCAAGCCAAGCCTGGCCTACTTAGAGAGATCCTGTTTCAAAGAAAATAAGGAGTGGTGGCACACGTGTAGTCACAGCACTCTGGAGACTGAGGTAGGAGGTATTTCATGAGTTTGAGGTTAGTCTAGGTTATGTAGTAAGTTCAAGACTACCCTAAACTACATAGTGAGGCCTTGTCTCAAAAAACAACTATAAAAAAAACCAAAACCAAAACCAAAGCTGAAAATAGTTGAATGTGGTGGAATATACCCATCATACTTGAGTACTGGGGAGGCTGAGGCTGGAGGACCATCCTGAGTTCAAGGCCAATCTGGGCTACACAGTGAGCTCAAGGTCAGCCTGAACTGCATTACCGACACCTTGTCTCTAAATATATAAATAAAAAATAAATAAGCAAACAAATAAAAAGAACTGGTGATATAGCTCAGTCCCAAGCTGCAAAGCTTTGTCACCAGTACTGCAAGACATGAAATACAAAAAGGGAACCGGGAGTGGGAATATAGCTGGGAATATAGCTCAAGGGAAATGAAAGCTCCCCTGGGCTTAATCCTCAGTATCAAAAAGTTAAAAAAGGTTCAAGGCCAGTCTGAACTGCATACTGAAACTCTGTCTCAAAAAGATACCTCCCTCAAAACAAAACAAAAAAAATGCTGGGTGCAGCTCAGTTCAGCTCAGAGCATTCCTGTATTCAGTGCTGCAAAACCAACGCAACACAATGCAACACCTTGTGACCTTCAAGGCCTGTCCAACCGTCAGCTCCAGGCTACCACACAGCCCCGTTTCCTCCTTGGAGATTCAGGCCCAGCCTGGCCTCGGGGTGTCCACTCTGCCCCCTCTGCTTGGGACGCTTCCTCCTCTCCATGGGGCTGGTCACCCTGCCCTTCCTGCTGTGCCAATGACCCTTTGTCCCACTCACTGATCCCAGAGCACCTGGAGGTCCCTGTGACCTGGGCAGATGAGTGTCCTGCTTACCCAAGATGATGACCACGGTCTTGACCAGGCTAAGAGTGGTCTCCCGGTAGCGGGGGTGGCAGCTGACATGCTCAGCCATGCGCTGCACTCGTCTCCGCACATAGAAGAAGATGCGGGTATAGACAGCAACCATGAGTAGGAAGACCAGCAGGCTGGACAGGGCCCACACGGCCAGATAGGAGCGGCTGAGCAGGGGCGCCATGCGTGAGCAGCGGTCCAGGGAGCACAGGCAGTGCCAGGAGTGGGCAGGCAGCAGCCCCAGCCCCAGGGCAGCTGCCCACACACCGGTGATGAGCAAGACCACCCGACCGTGGGGCAGGCGGCTGTGTAGCTGCACGGCCATCACACTTCGGTGCCGCTCAACTGCAATGGCCAGCAGGGTGGCCACGGATGCTGTCAGGCTGGTGTCTAGCAGACCCTGCCGCAGGAACCAGCCCCGCAGGGACAGCCGGGCCGTGCGCGGGCCGGTGTGGAACATGAGGAAGAGGTAGGCCACGCCGGCGAAGAGGTCCGCTGCGGCCAGGTTGCCCAGCAGGTAGTAGATGGGCTGGTGGAAGCGGCGGTTGGAGGCAATGGCTGTGATGACCAGCAGGTTAGTCAGAAGGACAAGCACGCTGACAGTCAGCCCCAGGGCCACCACGACCACATCCTTGGGGCGCCAGTGGGAGCTGAGCTCCTTGCCGCTGTTGTTATAGAAGAAGCCAATGGTCTCGTTGTAGTGGCACTGTCCCATGGTGGCAGTCTGGGGACGCGGGAGAAAGAGAGGTCATGGTGCAGGCGGCCCCTTGAAGGACACAGGGTTGCAGGGGGACAGGGAGAGCCCGGGCTGCAGAGCCTCACGGCTCTGAATGAGGTGGGGACAACGGTGACCTAGAAAAAGCAAGTTTACGGGGCGTGGGTGTGGGGAGCTGCTGCTCTTATCTGTTAAGGAGACTTATGAATGAGCTCTCAGATCAATGGCTCCGTTTAGCTTTTAGCCTGGAGAACCTAAACCAAACGTGTCCGCGGTCCCACTCTGGCCTCCCCGACGCCCCAATCGCTGGGCACTTGCGGCTGGGGAGATCTGGTCCTGCAAGGAGCAGAGCCCGGTGGCCAAGTGCGCACGCGAGCCCTCGGGGGCGGTGGGCGCAGGGCCGGACCAGGGAGCCCGAGGTGCCTGGCGGTCTCGGGGACAAAGAGGGCGGCGGGAGAGAGGGGGATGGCAGGGCCTCCGGACGCCCGATGGGGAGGGGCCGGGAGCAGGAGGGGGCGCGGCCGCTGCTGGGCTCCGCGCCGCGGCGCTAGCCTTACCTGGGCCACCTGTCAGGCCGCAGGCCAGGCGGGCTCGCGGGGCTTTGCGGCGGGCCAGAGGGCCATGGCCCAGCAACCTCGCCGTAGGGGCTGGCTACGTTCAGGGGTGCCGAGCCCGCGCCCGAGAGGTGGGGCGGGGCCACAACGCCCCGCCCATTAGTCCCGCCCCCGCCCATGGAAGAACCAATGATCTCGTCCTGCGGAGAAGCCCCGCCCCTAGAGTCCCCGCCCCAGAGGGAGCCGGGATGCCCCGCCCGCTGGGAGTCTCCCAGCCCATGCACCTGAAGCCCCGCCCTTGCCCCGCCCCCCGGGGCAGTCCCCGCGCCTAGCCGCGTAGGAGGGAGGAGGTGGGATCGCAGGCGTCCCCGGGCCCCATTTCCTCCTACCCCTTCCTCGGTTAGCTCCTCTTCACTTCCGGCTTGGACCCTCACCCCAGTCTGGGTTCGCCTCAGGTGCACACGGCCTTGGTCTTTCGGGGCTGAGTCCTCGGCGAGGCCACCCGAGGATCTCCACCGAGACCCCGGCCGGCCCGCAGTGTCCCCGGATCCGCGCAGCCCCGGCCCCACCCCCTCTCGCCCGCCTAATCGGCTGCTGAGCTGCAAGCCACCCGGGCGAGATCTGGCTGCCTCGGCCTCGTGACCCCGGCCTCCACCCTGGGTGAGCGAACGGCTCCCACACGCGTGGCACACAGCCCCATTGTGCAGCTATCTGCGCCTGGTTACATCGGTGATTACACAGGACCAGATAGGGACACGCAGTCCCTGACTGGGTGACTCAGCTTCGTGTCCAGGCCCTACCCTACCCGCCTGCCGGCTTTCAGGGTGCCTGTGTCAGAAGGGGACCTTGGTTTCCCAAGTGGATAAAAGTGGGGTGAGGGGTGCTGCTCTGGCGAATGGCCTCTTCCCTGTCACCCTCCCCTGGCTAGGACAGACACATGAGGATATGCAAGACAGTTTATTCAGGAATCACCCGCCCTGGGCACCAGCAGGAAGTGAGGTCTGGGTTGCCCATGTTCTCCTCCATTTGGTCAGTTGGGCTCAGCGAGGGGGCAGGGGTACGATGATCACTACTGACCTAGCAAGAGGCTTCCATGTCCCCGAGTCTGAGACCTGAGTAGACCCCAAAGATCTCGTGACGTGCGAGGACCCTGAGTATGACCCCAAGTGACCTCTGACCCCAAGTGGCTCTGCTACTTGAAACTGAGAGTCTAGTGGCAAGTTACTGGGACACTGAAATTGCCCCTAAAAGTGCTTTAGGCTTCTCCAGGCTGTGCAGTCTTTCATTGAGCTTCTGCCTTCGCCTGATGTTGGAAAGCTGCCCGGAGGAGAGGGCCCTGGGTCCATCCTCCCAGTCCTGGAGTGGTCAGAGGTGGTCCTCAGCCTCCTCAGGCTGGGGGTCTGGGCAGCAGGGGGCCCTGGGCACAGCCTTGCTGTCCAGTTTGGAGAGCAGCCGGGCTGTCTCCTGGGTGATCTCGAAATGCTTGGGGATCGGGGTGCGGCGCAGAGGGCTGCCCTCGCGGGAGGTGGCAGCACGCAGACTCCCCCCGGGCATTGCAGGGATGGGAGCCTCCTCACACAGCTTGGAAGCCACCAGGGCCAAGCCTGAGAGCTGCTGGGTGACAGGCCGCACCCCACCACGGGGATACTTCACTGGCTGGCGGCTGAAGTGACCACGGGACTGTGTCCCCAGGAGCAAGTCCTCGGGGCCTTGGCTGGGTACTGTGGGGTGAGAAAGCTGAGTATCCTGAGCCATCCCAGGGCAGGGCACCTCCCAGACTCCTGACTGTACCCCAACGCACCTTCCCCTCCTCCGTCTCTGGGGCCTTCAGTCTCTTCTTCCCTTTTGTCCCTCTGCATAGCAGCAGTCTGCAAGGAGAAGCTCAATGGTGAGACCTTCACAGGGAAATCTCAGGGCCTCGAGCCACCTAGAGACCCACGCCTTTGCTCCTGGACACACGGAAGTCCCTTGCAGTTTAACCTCTGAGGGTAAACAAATCCCTGACAAGTACATTGGTGGCTCAAGCCTGTCATCCTGGCGTTCTGAGAGGCCGAGGCCAGAGGATTGCAAGTTCCAGCTCAGTCTAAGCAACTTAGCATACTGAGTTTCAAAAAGAAAATATTCAACTGTCCTTTTCCTATCACCATGGTGACCCTCGTGGCCACCTCTTATCCTAGCCTTTCCACCCTCCATTGTAACTCATCCTTGGCACCTCGGAACACCCTACATAACTGATCTGTGTTGTCTGTTTCTTGGTACCAGGGATCGAACTCATGACCTAGCACTCGTCAAGCAGGTGCTTGTGCCACTGAGCTAAACCCCTGGCCCGTGAATGGTGTCTTCCCTCCCTCCCTCCCTCCCTCTCTCTCTTCTTCCTTCCCTTCCTGCCTGCCGCCTGCGGGGTATTATTGCCTTCCCCAAGCTGGTCTTGAATTGCTGACTCATGTGATCTTCCTATCTCAGCCTACTGGACCCTGGGGTCACAGGCACACATTGCTGTCCCTAGCTTGTATTATTTGTTTTGTCTAGGACAGGCAAGCGAGAGTTTAATAAATGTCCTGCCAGGGAATCGCCCATACCAGACCACTGTCCTGGTTCTTGTGCCACTGTCCTGGTTCTTGCTCCGTTATTCCCACCTCTCCCTCCTCAAACAGGTAGGGAAGGGAAGGGTGGCAGCAATCTGCAAAGGGAAGGAGCTGGAGCCCTGCCCACATCCAGAAGCCCAGCAGGCACTTACCTCGGGGGGTGTGGCCTCGGCAAGGGTGGCCTCTGGGAGCATAGTCTCGGAGTGCTTCTCTGGGGTGCTCTGGCTCTTGGCGTCCTGTCCCAGGTCTTTGGTCTGGGCTGGGGGTTGGGGGGCCAGTGTAGGAACAGGGGGACCGGGCAGGGTGCTGGTTATGAGAGGCCCGGGGGCTGGGCTGGGGTCCTGGGGCAGGACCTCGGCTGCTGTGGGGAGCTCATCCATCCCGAAGATCTGCTCATAGTGCTCGATGAGGAACTCGACAAGCTGGGCTTGATGCCCAGAGTCTAGCAGGCAGGCGACAGGGCTGGCACCAGGGGCCCGCAGGCCATCTGGTGGCCGCAGCAGCGTCGGGCCGAACACGATTCCCAAATTATTGGCAGACATCTTGTTCTCCTCAAACTGCGTGGCCACCCTGGGGACAGTGTGAGAGGGCTCAGGGGTGGGGTGCAAGGTCATTGGGCCAGGGTTGGGAGGGGGACCTGCGGGGTAGCCCAGGTGACCCGTTCTTGACATGGGTCTGGCCACCCTTTAAGGCCAGCAGACAGAGGTCCAGAGTTGGCTCCAGGCCACGGCACTAGGGTTTGGGGTCTGGATCCAAAGTTACAGATTGGAAGATAGATTAGAGGTCAGTGGTCAGAAGTGAGTGTCAGCCATAGAGGGCAGCAGTGGCATGTCCAGGGGAGAGGGTCCCCTTTGAAGGCTTAGGGACCCGTGCGTACCTGAACAGATGGGCCACCAGGTGCCGCAGGGTGTTGTAGTTAGAGTCGGGCAGCTGTGCCAAGAGCGTCTTCAGAGATCGGATTACCTCAGGGCTGGGGCTGGCAGTCCCCGGGTCGTCCCTGGGGTCTGCATGCAAGGTCTTAGCCAGAGAGATGAATGCATCGTAGAAGTGGAAGGGAACCACGGGGTCGGTGAGCTGGGGGTGGAGGGGGTCGGGAATACAAGTGTGGGCAGGTGCCCAGGTCCCAAAACCGAAGTCCTGTGCCCCAGCCCTCCCACCCGGGGCACCCACCTCCTGCAGAAACCGCTTAAGGACCCCTGTGACGTCGTGAGGTGAGTTTCCTGACAGCTCCACCAGCGCACGGCCATTTTCGAAGGCCTGGCACAGCCGTTCTACTCGGATTCGGGACCCGCTGACCCGGTAAATGCCCTGCAGGCCGAGGGTGGAAAGGGCTCTGGGCTTGTGATCTGGCTGCTCCCCAGGGTGGCTCACTTGCAGGGACAGTGGAGGCTCAAGGCGGCACCTGTACACCCAAGGCGCGGAGCTCTATCTCGGCTGTGCACCTGGTCACCACAAAGGGCACCTCCTCCGGGAAGTCCCTGGGGAGCTGTAGGAAGTTGACACCAAAGAGGGGCGTCCGGCCTTGGAGCCGCCGGTGTCCGCAGAGGATCAGCAGGGTCTCCAGACAGCGCTTGTGGCAGGTCAGAAAGCACTGGGTGGGGGAATAGGTCACAGGGTCATGAGGTTAGGGGTCAGACAGGGGTGGGTCCTGGGGGCAAGGAGGGTGCAAGGATCTTAGGAACTGGGCAGATCAGCAGGCCGCACCTCCTCACACTCCGTCCCGCTGACCATGAAGGCATCACACTCTCGGCACTTGGCTGGGCCCCGCAGGCGCCGCAGCCGGTGGGTCTGGGCTGCGATGGACAGCGTCCACTTCCGGAAGGGGCTGCCCAACCCGTTCTCCAGCCCGTCGCCCAGGTCTGCAGGGACACAGGGTCAGGGGTGCCCGGCCCACCTCCCTGCCTCCCTGCCCTACCTGCCGCCAGCCTCACCGGGGTCTCGCTCCTCGAAGTCATCTGAGGACTCGGTGCCGGTGGACGCCACCTTCATCAGCCGCCGTGTGACAGAACCTGGGTCAGAGGGCCACAGGGGTTGGGGCAGGTCCCAGGGCTCACGGGGAGGTGCCGTGATCCCTTGGAGGAAGGGGTCAGAGGTTAGGAGGAGTCAGAGAGGTTAGAGGGTAAGGGCAGGAGAATGGGTCAGGGGTGGGGGCTACAGGTCAGGACACAGGATGGTCAGCATATGGACTAGAGCCCCAAGCAAGGTTGAGAGGGTGCTTAGGCCAGGCCTGTCTTACCCGGGCTGGAAGTTGGGGAGTCCAGGGACCGAGACTCACTGCCGCCGCCCACACTATCGGCATCGCTGCCCAGAGGGGGCCCCAGAGTCCCTGATGGGGGGGATGGGTCAGGAAGGAGGACCTTGGCCTGCGCTACGCCCCCCAGCTGCCTGCAGTCACCTGGCCAGCTGGTGCCCACGTCATCCCAAGCGCCTGGCTCCGCGGAGCTCTCCTCCAGCCGTTGAGGCAGTGGTCCCGAGAGCTTCTTTCTGGGGTCCAGAGGGAAACTGTGGGGCGAGGATGATGAGGTTCCCATCCCAGGAAACTGAACAGGTCCCAACTCAAAGGCTTGGGTACCAATGCCCATGAATGTGGTAGTCCCAAAGTTCTGACCCTCCTAGCACTGGGACGCCCCCAAAGAATGGTCCCTGAGAGTCGTGTGGACTAAACTCCTTTGAGGCTCTGAGTTCTAGGCTCACAATACCAACAGCCTGCCACCGACCCGAGCTCGCTCCCCATGGGGCACCGGGGCGCACCTGTGTCCCGCTGGCGCAAACTCCTGGAAGGAGAAGGCGGGTGGTGGAGGTGGCGGAGCCTCGGGCTGCAGGTTCCGCACGAACTCCTGGTAGCGCTGGCCCGGCTCGAAAGGTGCGCAGCACTCGGCCAGGGCGGCAAAGGAGCGGGGGCCCCGTTCTGCTTGTTTCCTGTGCAGCCCAAAGAGGACCAGGGTCACCTGAGGGAGACAGACAGTCACCGGGCAGGGCCTCACTGGGACAGGAGCCAGCCAGGGCAGGGCATGGGGCTGAGCCATAGCCAGATCAGGGCGGGGCCTGGACCTGGGGGAGGAGCCAGTCTGGGGCTTAGGGAGGAGCCAAGTGGGGGCGGAGCCAGCTTGGGGCAGGACCTGGGGAGGAACCATAGTAAAGGTAGAGCCTGGACCTGGGGGCAAAGCCAGCTCGGGTGACACCTAGATGGAGGGAGTCAGGGCAGGGCCTAGGGAGGAGCCAAGTGGGGGCGGAGCCTAAACATGGGGGCGGGGCCTGATGCTTAGAAGCCTTGGGGCAGGGCTTGGGGGCGGGACCAGTGACAGGGTGGCTACTTAAAGGGCTAGGGAGGCCTCTGTCCAGGGTGACTTCCTGGCTGCTGGGTGAATCAGGGTGGGGCCTGGGGTTCTAGGGGGCTGAGGGCCAGGGTCGCACCCGTCTCAGCACTTCGTCGCCCTGCAGCACCAGTTTGCGCACGTGCGACACAATACGCTGCTTGGCGGCCTCCAGGTCCTGCTGTCGCGCGTTGGCCTCCCTGACGCAGGCCTGGTACAGAGCCTCGGCCTCCTGCACCTGGGGAGATCCAGGCCAGGAGAAGAGGATGAGGGGGCAGGCAGAGGACATGATGCAAACGCTAGGGGACACGGCTAAGGGTCCCCACCTTGGCCTGAGCCTCCTCTCGTGAGCGCCGTCTCCGCTCCTGCTGCTTGCTGGGCCCGGGGGACGCCTGGGGGCCTGGGTCCTCGGGAGACCCCTGCAAGCGCGTCCGTAAATCCTCGCAGCGCTGCGTGTACTGCAGCTGGGCCCGCCTTAGTGCCTGCAGCGCCTCGTTCTGGGGGTCAGAGGGCGTCAGCACCCGGCATCTCCTCCCCTGGTGCGGGGGCCGCCACCTATGCAGGACCTCACCATCCGCTTCTGCTCCTTTAGCCATTGCTCCTTGAATTCTTTCCTCCACTTCTCCACCTCCGTTCGCTTGGCAGCCAGGGGCTGGCAAAGGTAGGGAGCAGGTGGCGATGAGACCACCACAGGATAGGCGTCCTCAACCTGTCCTGGAGCCCTGGCACATTTCCCTGGAGATCCTTTCTGCTTTTTTGACAGTCTTGTTATGTAGTTCATGCTGACCTTGAAGTTGCTAAACTGCTCATCTTGGGTTTGAACTTGTGATCCCCCTGACTCAGCCTCCCAGGTGCTGGATTATAGGCATGCACTACATACCTGGCTTGGATCTTTTTTGTTGTTCTTTTTTTTTTTTTGAAACCAAGTCTCGGTATGTAGCCCAGTTTGGAGCTGAACTCAAAGGGCTCCTCCTGCTTCAGCTTCCCAGTGCTGGGATTACAGGTGGGTATCACCACACCCTATTCTTTTGTGGTGACAGAGGAGATCAGACTGGAGGCCTTGCACACTACCAGAGCTATGCCCTTTTTTGAGGCCCCGGGCTCCTCACCCAGGCCTGTTCTCTTGAATCCTGGTGTTCACACAAAAAGCCTCAGGGGTCACCCGAACCTTTCTGCAGGCCCCACATGCAACACCCACTCCCCTCTTCACAAACAAGACCCGGTTTTGCAACTGCACAGGAAGCCAGGTCTGAGTCTCTGCTGGGGAGCCTTGGGCAAGTCCCAGAGTGTCTCTGGGTCCTGGCTTCCTCATAAGCAAAACGGTGCTGACAGTGGCAACTTCCTCCTGGGGCTGCAGGCGTCCTTCCCCTCACCTGGTAGTAGTCTCTCTTCTGCTGGGCCAGGGTCTCAAGGGCTTGGGCTCCCAGGTTGTAGTCATGCTCCAGAAACAGTGTGTAGATGTACTGCAGCGGCATGTAGTTCTGTGGGGAGCAGGGTGCAGGGCACTGAGGGTCTGGGGGACGGCAGGGGGCCTGGGCGTCCTCCTCTGGGCAGTCCCTACCTGTTGATGGATGGATGTCTTGCCGGCTTCAGCCATCTTCATGATGCTCTTGGTGAACTCCAGCTCTGGAAAGGGAGGCACAGTGGACATCTGCTCGAGGGGGTTCGGACCCCACTGGGGCCTGGTGGGCAGAAGGGGCCTCACCGTAGTTAGCTCTCTTCTCCGTCCAGGCCAGCAGCTCCTTGGCATAGCGGCTCCACATCTTGGCATATTCCAGGGCAGCGTCCACACCTCCCTTGGTCCGGATGAGCCGCAGGTCCAGTTCCTCCCCTGGGTAGATGGGTGACCTCTGACCTTGCCCCATATGAGCTCCCTGAAACCTTCTTTGGGGACCACTGTCCTGCCTGCCTTTGTATAATCCTTACTCAGACTGGGATCTGTGGTGCTGTTGCCCCTGACAGTGCCCGGAGTGAATAGGCTCAGTGATGACTGGTGTCCCTCTCTGTCCCCAGCTTCTTGGCCTCAAAGCCCTCTCCCTACCTGTCAGGGGCGCAGGACCTTCTGAGGATGGACAGCTCCAGTGGCTGGCATCGCTGGTAGGGGACTGGAAGAAGACGGCATTCAGGGGCCTTTCCGTCAGGGGAGTGCCCCCACCTCTACCCAAGATCCCTGGCCCCCGTTCTCCCACACTCTGCTCACCACAGTGGCTGTGGTGACCTTGCCAGGCTCGGAGTTTTCGGTGAGTGTGGCATCCGAGGCCAACACCTCGAAGTTCCTGGAGTGGAAGTGTGAGGGTCTCAGCCCCACCCACTGTCCTGTCAGGGCCAGGCAGGTGGGGATGCTGGGACCCTGAGATGGTTTGGGAGACAGCCCTGATGTCTTCTGTGTGGCATTTGTTACATTTAAAGGTAACAGGTCCAGGATGCAACAAAACTCAAGGTTTTTTTTGTTGTTATTGGGGCTGGGAATCAAACTCAGGACCTTGCGATCGCTGTGCTGCTGAGCTACATACCCGGCCCTAATTCAGATTTTTTTTTTGTCTTTTTCCTTTTTATTGGTACCGGGGGATCAAACTCACGACTGCCTGCTTTCAAGGCAGGCGCTTATGCCGCTGAGCTAAATCCCCAGCCCCCCCCCCTTAATTCAGATGTTTTAAGGAGGGCTAAGTGCAAGCTTTAGGACCATTTTGAGGTTATATCTCAAACACCCCAGGTGCCACCTCGGACTTCCCAGGTTATTAGAAAAGTGAGTCCAGATGCTGCGGAGACAAGGTGTGTATATATGTGTGTTTCAGGCCACTGAAATGGGTAGGGTCTGGGCCAGGGTTTGGGGGATTCTGGCAGTGACCCGAGCTCAGACTCACACGTTCCCCAGGGAGATCTCGAGGTTGTCCAGGCTCCGGAAGATATCGCTGTATCTCTTCCTGCCCTCGGGAGCCGGGAGGTGCCCTAGGGAGGGCGTGATCATGGCCGACCCCGGACTGCCTGCCTCCTTCCCTCCCTCTGAACACCCTCCCCCCCGCCAGATCCGCCTCTGCACCGGGGTCGTTAGAGGGACGCGGTCCCGCAGAGCTGGGAGGCGGGCACGCGGGGAAGCGGGGACGGATAGGGCGGGCCGGCAGCGGGATCGCACACGGCAGAGCAAAGGAGCAGATGCTCACGCGGGCAAGCGCGCGGGCGCAATGCAGCTCCGGCCGCCCCCAGGAGTGAGGCAGCCGTGACAATCAACCTCAGGGACTCGGGCCAGACAGACGGACACGCACGTGCGACACCGGGCACAGAGCCTATAGCGTAAACATAGGCAGGCAGCGGCCACGAGGCGAACTAGCGGAGACGCAGAGCAAATGGCACAAAGAGCGCCGGCTCCCAACCCTGCGCCGGGCCGCGGGGCTCGGGCTGAGGCCCCCGCTGTCACCACGGCGGCGACACCCTGCCCCCACGCGGGGACAAGAAGCAGAAGCGGTCGCTTCCCCTTCCTGGGCCCCCTCCCGGCGTCCGGAGTGCGCGCTTGGCCGGAGACCGGACGCCGCGGGCTGGGGAGCCGGGCCCCTTCCGATCCGGGGTCCGAAATGAGGTTCCCCGCGCACTCCCATGCAGGCGCGCACTTCCCATGCAGGCGCGCACTTCCCAGCTTTGGGACCAGAGCGGCAGGCGGGACTCCTCAGTTTAGGAAGTGGGGGATGGCATGGGCTCCCCGGGTCCCTGGCCTCAGACTCCCTACCTGGCTCCGGGGTGTCCATGGCCAGGCGCGGGGATCGCTCGGCGGGGGCGACCCGCACGGGACAGCTAGGGGCGCGCGGGGACCGCCCCGGCTTCCTGCCGCCGCTGCTGCCCCGCCTCGCCGGCCCCGCCCCGCCGGCCCCGCCCCGCAGCCCGGAAGCGCGCAGCCCAGTCACCCGTCTGCACCCCTGAAGTCCGCGGCCCCGGTGTCCGTCTCAGCCTCCCTTACTCCGCGACCTGCTGACCTCCTTGCCCCGAAGCCTGCTGGGTCCTGAACTTACGCCGACTTAACGGGGCCCTTGGTGAATCCGAGGCTCCCGGAGGGTGGGGCTAGCTTCAACGCAGCACGGACCACCCCCCAAGTGGTACTGGGTGTCCAGATCAAGGCCTTTGTACTACACTGCACCCGGCTTTTATTTATTCTTATGTATTCTTTTGAGAAAGGGTCTTGTTAAATTACTAAACTGCCCACTTGGGTTTGAAGTTAGGGCGCTGCTGCCTTAGCCTCCCAGAGGCCCCCCTCTCAGGGGCGAACACAAGACTGCTTGTTCTGAGATCTCCAGGGGTCACTCCGGGGCAGGGGACTGAAGCTGGCACTAGTCTGCGTGTGCTGTCTCCCAGTGTCACCTTCCACTCCCAGTGCTGTGCCCTAAAGCAGGTGGGTATAGGAGGCACAGGGCCCTCTGCCTGGCCAGGAAGCTGGCCGCTGTTTGGAGCACCAGAGCCCAGCTGGCCGGCCCAGCCTGTGCCAGTTTCCTTCCTCTTCCCTCTTCTTCCTTCCTTTTTACGTTTTTTTTGCCATATTGCGAATTGAACCCAGGGCATTCACACTGACCTACAACCCTAGCCCTTTTTTTGGTCTTCAGAGCTTGGGTCTTGCTGGATTGCTGAATTGTCAGGGCTGGTCTCTTTCTGCTTCAGCCTTCCTGAGTGCCAGGATGCAGCTGTAATCCTACCTACTCAGGAGGCTGAGGCAGAAGACTGCATTTAGGGCCAGCCTGGGCAGCTCAGTGAGATCTGGGCTGGGGGTCCAGCTCGGTGGTAATGCTCCTGCTGAGCCAGGACCCAACCCCATCATTAGGAAGAGATCATGCCAAAGTTGCTGGCAATCTGAAGGGTCATATCTGGTATGAGCTGCTGCCACGTTGGGACTCGAGGAGCCTGGCCCAGGTGGGTGTCCAGGATACCCAGGGCCTCACTGCTTTCTCGTGTCCCAGAGAAGAGGTCAACACCAACTTTGAGGCTCCACCAGGTGCCTGAGCTGTCAGGACCTGGGGTTACGGATGCCAGGGTGCCTGGCCTTGGCTGGCGCTATGGAAGGGGGTGCAGAGCAGGTGGAGACGGCTTCATAAAATCTCAGTGCTGCTTTATTTACCAAAGGAGCCGGCCTGGGGCTGGACCCGCTAGCAGGGCTGGCAGGGCCTGGCTCAGTCTTCCACTCCGTGGGGGTGGAGGAAGCGTTCCCTCCCCAGGCCCTGGCGGAGCTCCTGCCTGGTGGGCCAGCAGTCTGGGTGAGCGGTGGGTACCAGCACCGCTGGCTCAGGAAGGCACTTTCAGCTTCGGGGTCCCCAGGAAGAACTGCAGGACACGGTCAGCCAGGAGCGCCAGGCAGAAGTCTAGGAGCAGCACCTGGGCGATGACCAGCTTGAACTGCCAGGCATGTGGGAGGCAGGTGAGTATGGAGCAGTGGCTGGAGGGCCAGCTCAGCCCCAGGGCCCCACCACGCCCCGCACCTCCACAGGGATGTCCACGAGGCCGAACTGGCTGTTGAAGTCAGGGGAGGAGCCGAGCAGCAGGCCCACGATGGCCAGCAGGGACACGGCCAGGCTCCACAGCAGTGGCTTGTTCTCAGGCAGACTCTCCATGAACGGTGGGCCCTGAGGGAGGGGACCCAGGGTGAGGGTGTTGTGCAAGGGCTTGGGTGGGGCGGGGCAGGAGGGACAGCCTTACCTTGTAGTTGATGGCAAAGGTGGCCATCTGCATGGCCATGGCCATGATGTACACTGTGCTGTTCACCAGGCTGGGCTCAAACTCCTTGTCCAGGTCTACGAACTGCTCCTGCCTGCGGGCATGCTTGGGTCAGCCCCACCCCCACCCCGGCCTCTCACTTCTGCTCATGCCGGGGAAGCCGGTGACTCTTACCACATGCCCTCAGGTCTAGCTGTCCACCTCTGCCCCCCTAGGGGTGCCAGTGACTGGGAACACTCACTTATTGGGGCTTCGGGCCTGGGCCTCCCGGTACAGGAAGACGAGGCTCAGGAAGTGCACGGTGAACTGCAGCAGCACCGTGAGGATGGTATACAGGTTGAAGATGTTGGGCAGGGGCCGCTCCCGGGACAGGGTCTTGAGGGGCTGTGGGGGTTAGGCATGGGTCAGGCCTGCTTGCCCACGGCCACCGGGCCTTCCTGGGAGGACTTCAGCACTGCTGTTACCCAACTCGGAGCTGGACGGGGTCTGCTACCTTGCACTGCCTGCAGCAGCTAGGCTCTGCTTTGGTTTTTTGGGGTACCAGGAATCCAACTCAGGACCTTGTGCCTGCTGGGAAGGCATCATACTGCCGACCTCTATCCCCAGCTGCTTTCTTTTTTCTTTTTGTATTACTGGGGATTGAACTTACGACCTCACCCTTGTCAGGCAGGCACTTATGCCTGCTGAGCTAAATTCCTAGCCCAGCTGCTTTGTTTTCTTCATGGGGATGAACTCGGGGACTCTCCCTGAGTTATACTGGGTCCCACTAACTCGCCCAGGCTGGCCTTGAACTCCTGACCCTTCTGTTTCAGCCTCCTGAGTGAGCACGCAGAACCAAGTGGTGCAACATTGATCTCCCCGGCTGCCTGTGACTGCTTGGCATTGTCCATGGCACTGCAGGCCCTGAGCGATCTTGGGGACTTGTTCCTTTCTGTCCCCTCCTTGCCTGGAGGGTTGTCAGGCCACCTCAAAAGTGTGCCAACCAAGGCTTGTGACCCCACATCCGGGTTCTGCACCCCACCCGTCACTTGTGGGTGATGATTCCCACCCACAGAGGACATGTGGCAGGCCCGAACTGCCCACCCTCCCGCCCTGCGGCCACCTTGGAGCGGGAGATGAAGAGGAAGCAGCCGGCCAGCAGCAGCCCCTGCAGTGTGGCCTGGAAGTCGCTGAACTTGACCCCCTCCAGGTAGAGGACGCTCTGGCTGTAGGCCAGGATGAGTGCGTTCAGTGCCAGGATCTTGAACATCTGCAGCGTGGTCACCAGTGTGCAGCGGCCCTGCTTGATCACGTGGCAGACTGGGGCGACAGGTGGGGCATGAGGGGGTGCTGCACAGTGCTAGGCTGGGTGAGGGGCAGGTTTGGGTGTGGGGACTCACTGCACTGGATGGAGGAGAGCTTGGAGGTGAAGGGTGCGGCGATGCTGGCGTCGCCCAGCTTCACGATGGGCGCGCTCTCGTCCTCCAGGTCCCGCAGCACTTGGCTCAGGCGGTCCTGTGGGCAGAGGGTGGGATCACTGGATGCTACCACCTGGCACTGCTCACCACCCCGAGCCCGCCTGACTCACTCTCTGCGAGGCCGGCTGCTCCTCGGGGGGTGGGAGCCCCGACCGATGCCTGGCGGCCCTGGAGGTGGTCCTGCCACTGCTGCTGCTCAAGACTGGGCTGTCCCGGGGCCTCCGCCGCCTTTCTACAACACGCTCGGGGGCGTTGGCTAGGAGTGCCACCCCTGCAGGGACGGGACGGGCAGGATACGGGTTCACCCTGGGACCCTGAGCTCCAGACACCCCCATGCACCAACTTCCCCAGGGAACCCTACTGTCTATGAGCTAAGTAGGAAAACCAAGAAGCAACAATCCTGCAAAACCAGTAAATGCCGTGCTGCGGGAGGGTCCAGGCCCCCAGCCTTCATGGCTGTCCCTGCACTGCCTGCACACAGCATGGGAGCCCACGAAAATCCTCAAGTGTTTCTCTTGGTGTGGGACCAGTGGGACCAACTTAGGGGTGCTCTATCACAGAGCACAGCCCCAGGTCTTTTAAGTTTTGATTAGACACTGTGCACCTTTTGCATGGAAAAAACCATGCTCTGGTGGGGCAGCATCCCCAGAGCCACTCACCCACGTCCGCATGCTTGAGCGCGCCCACGTCATTGGTACCGTCCCCACACATGAGCGTCACATAGCCCAGCTCCTTGAGGCTGGTGACCACGAACTCCTGTGGGCAACATGAGCTAAGCAGGGGTCCAGTGCGCCCCAGGCCCAGCCCTGCCCGGCCATGCACGCACCTTTTGCTTGGGGGCCACACGGGCGAACACCTGTACGTGGGGGATAAGGCGCAGCAGCTGCTGGGGGGCGGTGGCCTGCAGGTGGGCCAGGCCATCGCCTGTGAGGCATAGGGCGTACTCCTGTGCCAGTGGCTTGGGGGAACTGGGGGCCAGGGGGAGTCTGATGCTACCGTCGATGGAACGCCATGTGCACTGGCCACCTGGGGATAACATGGGCAGTCACTGTCCTATGTGACATCTGCTCAGGGATACCCTGCCCATGTGGCCTGCACGCTCGTAAGCCCCTGCTTAGGACTCCTCTGCCACGTCCCAAGGGGAGCAGACCCCCGGCCACCGCAACATCCAGTACCCCTGGCCACCTACAGAGCAGGCGCCTCACAGCTGACTAGGGGCTCCTGGCCCAGTGTAGGGAAACAGGCTGTCCAAGGCCTGCAGAGTGGGTACCAGGGTGCTGCCATGGTACCACACAGCGTGCTGGGGGAGGGGACCGATGGGCCTGTGACCTTGGCATCCTCATAGACAACCACCACAGGTCAGGACTCAGCAACCTGGTAACAACCGAGTCCCCAATGAGGGGCCACAGGTTGTGAGGGTTGGACCCGGGGGTGGAAGGTAGGAGCTGTTTGTTGCCGGACCCGGCACTCTGGCCACCCAGGGCTCACCCTTTTCCGAGGGGGGCTGTAGGATAAGTGTGTGGGCCTTCTCGATGAAGCGCAGCTCCTGTGCCACGTGGCAGGCAGTGAGTGGGTTGTCTCCCGTGATCATGACCACCTGGGGACGGGGTGGGGCTCAGTGGGGAGACCACATCCTCCTGTGGAGGGGGCCCCAAGCCCCCCCAGGGTGCTGGATGGGAATGATGGGTGCCTTCCCTCGGCCTAGCCTTGCTTCCTTCTCTGGTAGTTGGGGTCCCCTGTATGTGTGTGTACAGTATATGTCAGTGTGAGTGTGGTGTGTGCATGTTGATGCATGCCTGAGGACCTGGGGTGAAGCCTGTGCCTCCCGGATGTGGGGGTGGGGTGGGGGGAGGACTGTAGAGGTGATATGGGAGGAGCTGGCTCAGCCCCCAGCATTTCCTGCTGGGGCAGCCAGCACTTCCGCTGCCACTGCACCCAGCTGTGACCTGCAGTTGAGACGTCAAGGCTGGTGCTGTCCCCTGGCGCCCTTCCCTCCCTGCCCCACTGCTTACCCGATGGGATGCGTTCTGAATCTCTCGGATCACGGCCTTGGAGTCGGCCTTGAGCGGGCAGGAGACCACGATGAAGCCCACAAACTTGAGGCTGCACTCCAGGGCCTCCCGCTTGACCTCCCTGGCCTGTAGGCAGACACGGCGCCTTACCATGCATCCTTCTCCCCTGGGTGGGGAGAGGACCAGCACCTGGCACCCAGAGACTGGGGACGGTCCTTGGTGTGGCCAATGGCCCTTTCTTATCTCCCGCCACATGGCAGCAGGAATGATGGGGCAAAACACTTGCCCCCAGGAGCTTGTGTGGTAGCAGTGGACAGACAGGACAGCAGTGGGGTCAGGGCCAGGACATGTGGAGAGGAAGCCCTCGACAAGGCCCGAGGAGGGCAGGGCTGGCACCCTGGGAGCGGGGGCTCTGGGCGCAGGACTAGGCCAAGCTGAGGGTGGGGACTGAGGCTTGGGCTTGGACTCTGCACAGAGCTGTGACCTCCCTCGAGTTCTAGAAGAATCTGTGGCCGTAGGGGGAAGAGACTGAATGGGGGCCAAGGTGGAGGTGGGGGGAGGGGACCTGGGGACGAGAGGACACTGGGCGAGGGCTGAGAATGCCACTGAGGTCTTTGCTGGTGACTGAAACAGGGCTGGGGCCTTACCTGCTGGTGGGTAAGGTGGCCTAGCTCCTTGTACCCCAGGGCCAGCACGCGGGCACCCTCCCGGGAGATCTCAGTGTGGATGTGGTGGTAGTCAGGCGGGCACTGCGCAAACTATAGGGAAGGCAGGGAAGGTGGGAACATCAGCGGGTGCCCTGTGCCCCACCCTGCCCCTGGGCTAGCCGGCTCACCATGGAGTGGAGGGTTTCGGGGGCCCCCTTCACAGCTGCGATGTAGCAGAGGTCGGTGGAGCCCAGCTTCTCGTAGGAGGCCAGCACGGACATTCGCTTTAGGGCACTGGCAAAATGAAAGCGCTGGTGAATTTTCAGCCCCTGAGTTTTAATACTTCGGGGGAATACTTTCTCATCTGGAAACAAATAAGCAGGAGTCCTGAGCGCTTGGCTCCAGCAGCAGCCAGGCCCCCGCCTCGCTCTCCACCTGGGCCCCTGGCTCCTCCCACCTCCCTGGGGCCTGGAGGTGGTCCAGGGGGTCGGGGACCCTGGTACTGTGGCTTTGGCAGGGTGGGACACTGAGGACGAGGCTGGTTCTGGGTCCTCACTGTGAGACCCCTGCCAGGAGGAGCTGGCCCAGCCCCTCACCTTTGGTCAGTGTCCAGTCCACGGCTGTTAGCATGGCCTTCTCCAGGGGGTCACCCACCAGGGTGCCATCGTCCAGCTGCATGAGGGAGTGGCAGGAGGCCAGAGCTCGGTGCGTTTCCACAGGGATGCTGGACACTGGGGTCACCTCCTTTCCGTCCCTGCAAGGATGCGGAGCAGCTGTGGGCACGAGTGTGGCATGGTAGTTGGGTGGCAATGCACCTCCCCCTGGGCAGCGCCGAGCACGGCTGGAGGGAAACTGGGGTCCCTGAGTCCCGCACTGGCTTCCCGGGGGACCCCAGAGGCTACACACAGTACGTGGGTCCATAGCTGGTACGGATTGGAGGTGAGGGCAGAAATGAAGGATGTCCCAGGGGGAGGGCCTCTGACCAGTCTTCACCTGCAGGCCCAGGCTGGGCTCGATTCCCAGGATCCCCTCTGCTGGGCACCTCCGAGGCCCAGGGTCCCTGCCGCTCACCTCAGCCCAGCCACGCCACGCACCACCAGGCTGTCGCTGGTCAAGGTCCCCGTCTTGTCGAAGCAGCACACCTCGACCTTGCCGGCGAAGGGGATCCGGAAGGGCTCCGTGCAGTACATATCTGCGGGTGGGCACCGCAATTAGGGGTCTGCTGGGATCCTCGAACTGGGTACCCCTGCCCCACCGGTCCCACTCACAGAGCTTGGCCAAGGCGATGAGAGAGGTGTTGACGGCCAGGGACAGCTCGATGGGCAGCTCAGGAGGCACAACTGAGGTGAGGATTAGAGTGCACTCCAGGAAGAGCTTGTAGCGGTTCCGGCTGGGGTCCTTGGTGCCTGCGGAGGCAGGGCCTGCCAGGCACAGGGCTGAGGGGCTGAGGCAGGGGTGTGGGGTGCAGGCCACAGTGCTTACCCTCGATCCACACGTAGGCCGCAGCTGCGATGGCGAAAACCAGGAGGAAGAGGATGAAGATGAAGGTTTCCAGGTTGTTGGCTGTCACCCGCTTGACCCCAAAGAGGATAGTGCGCAGCAGCCTGCCCTAGAGGGAAGAGACGGAGGCCTTTCCTGGGCACAGGCCTGGGCGAGGAGCCTCTCTTCTCAGATCACCAATGCAGGACATGAAGTCCTTTCATGGACTGCATGAAACATGGAAACAAGCAGTGCCTGCCTCGTCTGGTTAAGGAGCCACTCGGACACTGCAAAGGCAGGCAACAGCCCTAGGAGGCCTGGCATTGCCCTGCTGGGCAAAGCCCACACTTTGCCAAAACATCACTTACTGGGGTTCACTCCACACATGTGGGTGAACAGTGAGCTTGCCAGCCAAGCGCTCCCCAAACCTCAGGTCAGAGGGACCTGGACCCTGGGCTCCCTGCTTTACCCTGGCCATGGCAGAGTCCAGGGCCGAATGCTTGGGAAACTGAGACACCTACCACTCAGGTGCCTACCAGCCAGCCCACCCACCCACCCACTGGAAGGTGCACCTGGGAGGTGTTGAATCCAGTCCGCAGGACGTAGGCCACGCATCCATTGTCGACCGCTGGGGAAAGAAAGGGCCTGGTCACCCAAGTGCCCTCCTTCTAGTGCACTGGGTAAAGAGGGCGAGAAGGCGGGGTGGGGAGGCAGGGCATCCCCAGGCGGCCCTGAGGCACCTACGCTTCAGGCCTGTGGTGGCCTTCTGTGGGGGGATGTGCTGCACCACCTTGGTGCCCCCAAAGACCACGTGCAACCGGGAATCAGCCTGCAGGTCCAGCATGCGGTCAGGGCTGAGGTCCTCAATGGGCTCCTGTGGGGGAGGGGACTGGATTGGGATGGTGGCTTCCAGGTGGGACCTGGGGCTCTGTCCCTTTCTCCTCAGTCTCCAGGCATCCCAGGATGCTGGATGCAGCTGAGGTGTACCCCGATCACACACCTTCATCTGTGGCACTGACTCCCCGGTGAGCATGGCCTCATCCACGATGCAGCGGCCACGCAGCAGCAGCACGTCACATGGTACCAGGTTCTCCTGTGGGGAGCGGCCTGCAGGCATGGCAGCAGGATTGGCCAGGGGCCCTGGGGCTGGGAAGGCTCCCACCACCCGAGCAGAGCTGGCCTCACCGATGGACACGATGTCCCCGGGCACCACTTCATCGCTGGCAAGGGGCCTCCACTTGCGGCTCCGGTAGACCTGGGGGCAAGGCAGCATCAGCGTAGCTGCCCTGGCCGTGCCTGCCCTGAGTCCACACTTATACCACGCCTGCCTCTTGCCCACCCTGGAGCCGGCAGTGCCCAGCCGCACCTGGATGAGGTGGGGCTTGTTGCCCATCTTTCGGATCTCAGACATGTTCCGCATCTGCTGCTGCACCAGGGATGCCTCAAAGGCCACTAGCATGGACAGCGTGAAGACACTGTAGTACCAGTACTCATCCAGGCACCAGAGCCCCACACAGAACACCTGTGGGGCAGGGAGGCAACGGGACAGGCAGCTCTGTGCTTGCTCCTCGTCGGCTCCAGAGCCCTGTGCATGAAGCCCAGGGACCTGAGTGGCATGGCTGTCTTGCCCAGGGGCTCTGGCTTCTCAGGTGACAGACAGGCTTTCTAGGCTGTGACAGAGGCAGGGGATGAGGGACCCGGCCGCTGCTGTACCTGAAACACGAAGAAGGGAGCCGTGGCCCTCTCCTTGAAAAGCTCGGAGAAGTCGGGCACCACCATCTCGGCCCTGCAAGAGAGCACGGCACACCTGTCCCCAGAGCTGGGGGCCATCCACCCAGGGAAACCACACGGGGGTCGAAAGCTTGGAGAGCTTCCCCACCAAGGCTCCATGCAACCACGGCTGCACTGGCCTCCTTCTGAGGCCTTCGGAGCTGCAATGCAAGCAAACGGAGTGGGCAGGTACAGAGCTGAGCTCCACTGGGAACAGTGTCCTGGTGAAAAGCCCCAGAGCTGGGCCCAGGGCACCTCCAGGGCCTGAGCTTGTGTGTGGTGGCCCAGTCCAAGAGGTTAGCCAACGAGGGCTGTGCTTGCAGTGCCCTTTGACTGGTAGACACCTTGGGCTGGGACAGAAGGGCACAGTGATGCCACGCCATGGGAGCCATGGACCACACAGCCCCCACCCCTGCCATGGGCTTGGCCATGAGTGAGGGAGGCAGTGAAGAGATGGCCATCCATGAGGCTGACCTTGGGGTGGGGGAGCCTCCCTTGCGGCCCTGTGTTTCAGCAACAGAGTCAGGACGGTCTCTTGGGAGCTCTATGGGTTTCCAGGTCGAGAGCCACAGCCTCAGGGGCTACCACAGGGTTGAGGCTGGACGTTCTGCTGCCCCCTCAGCCTCCCGATAAGTTTCCCAGACTGGTTTTTGGCTTCAGATCATCCTGCCTGTGTCTCTGTGTGGCTAGGATTGCACACAGTTAATATCTTCCTATCACTTACTTAAGTTACTTACTTTCTTTTTTTTTTGAGGCAGTGTCTCGCTATGCAGTCCAGGCTGGCCTGGAACTCAGTAATACTACTGCCTCAGCCTCCTGAGTGTTGGGATGATGGGCATGTGCCACTACACCTGGCCTCCACTGCTATTTCTAAAGGACTGAGATAGACGTTTGAAAGTAACAGAGGGTGGAATTTTAAACACAGAATTTAAAATGAAGCAGGGAACTGGAAGAGACGAGGAGGAAGAGCTGACTGTTGTGAGCAGGGTTGGGGTTCATCTCTGGGCCGGCAGGTGTGGGGACAGCAGCACAGGCTCCTCCACTGGGACCCTGATGGAGGAGTACCCCAGGATGAAGGAAGGCTCCGCCCGCTCCCTAGATACTCTGGAGCAGGAGCAGAGCAAGAACGGGACACAGGTTGCCGGCCATGAAGGACTCACTTGTTGCTCCCGAATTTCTTCTCGGCGGCCCGGATCTCTGAGTCTTCCTGGAACCCCCTGTGGCTCTGGTAGAAGGAGAACATGTTCGCCACGGGGAAGGCTACTGGGAGGAACTGCTTCTTTTCCAGGGCGTCGTAGGAGTACTTGATCTTCTGGAACTCGAAGGACAGCACCTCGAGCCCGTCTTCACCCTGTGGGGGTGAGGTACGCCATAGCAGTGCCTGGGAGTCTCTCCTAAGTCCCTGCCCCTGGGTCCCCCGGCAGGCAATCCCTACCTTGTCACGATGCAGAGCCACGAGCTCGGTGGAGCCATTGTTGGGGGTTGGCACCACCTTCACAAAGGTTGCCTTGCTGGGGTCGTACTCCTGCCAGACAAGCAGAGCACTGTCACTGAGCCAGCGCAGCTCACAGGCCCATGAGCCCATAGCCCCACGGGGAAGGAGGGAACAGTGGTCCCATGGGCAAGTTTTGAACATGCCACTGGGCTCCAGTGCTGGCTTGCCCACGCCCCAGACTGTTGCTGGGACAAGATACCACCTCTGGTCTGTATTATAAAGCTGGGGTTTCGGAGAGCACCTGACACCCAGGGATCTGGTAATGCCAACTCTCAAACGAGAAGTGTGACACCAGGCATCTAGCGTGTGCTGGCTACGAGGTCACGGCCCACCTGCACTCACAGTGCCTGCCTCTCCCCTTTCTGGTGGTCTGCCCGGAATATGCTTTCATAGAGCAGGGTCCCCTGATACTGCTGGCCTCTGCTTAAATGTCACCTTCTCATGAACCCTTCTGCAGTTATCCCATCTAAAGGTCCCTGGGCTCTCTGTTACTGCTCTTTAGCAACAATTGCTGAGTGGCAATTTTCTCTCCTGCTAACGTCATAAAGGCGGCAGACTTTGTCCACTGTCCACTGCTGTTACCTAAGACACAGGAAGTGTTCTCTTTCTGTGAACTGTATCCATCCCTGGCTGCTCTGTTAGATCCTGGGATGAGTGGAGGGAAAGAGGGGGGCCTGGGAGCAGCAGGGGGATGACCCTAACCATGTGCCATGCCTGAGGAAATGCGTGGGCCAGTGAGGTAGGCAGAAAATAGCAATAAACACTGAACTACGGACTGCAGGGAAGGCATGGTTTAGCTCAGGACCTACAGCAAGTGCTTGTTGGATGCCACCTCAGCTTCTCTCGGCAACACCAGGAGGCCAGGTGTTAGGGCTCTCACTTTTTTTTTTTTTTTTTTTTTTGTCTTTTTCGTTTTTATCGGTACCGGGGATCGAACTCATGACTGCCTGCTTGCAAGGCAGGCGCTTATGCCGCTGAGCTAAATCCCCAGCCCCATAGGGCTCTCACTTTACAGGGGTCAGAAACTGAAACCAACCAGTAGGAGCAGTGGCCTGAGATGAGGTGCAGGCCCAGATCTGCCTCTAACTTGGCTTAGTTCCCCGCACTCCTCCATCCCTGGAGAGGAAGTCTAGCATTACATTATTTCGCTGCAGACCAGCAGGCAGCTGGAGTCTTGGGGGACCACCTGCAAGACTCTCCAACTTCCTTTTTTTCACTTGTCCCTTGCTAAGTCTTTCACTGTACCAGTCAGAGCCACCAAGCCTGGAAGCACCAGTCCTTCCAAGGGACAAATCTAACTGGGGAAGGAATGAAGACTCAATGCACACTGACAGTGGGGAAAGGGGACAGTCTCTCTGTCCTTCCTGTAGCCCTAATGCGGTCCCGTCCCTCTTGAGGCCAGTCCATGCCTGGGATTAGGCCAGAGGGTCGCTGGAGATATACCTCAATGCCTTGGGTTCCAAACCTGAAGTCATCTGAGTCAAATGGCACAGCTACTACTTGTCAACTGGAGGCTCACTTCCGCTCTGTATCACAGCTACCGCGTTTTGGGGTAGCACTCATTCACTGAGAACCTCAACTGTGGCTCTCACAGGCGCTGTCTGGTGTTGCACCCCAGTCTCCCCATCGCCGCGCTTATCTCACAGAAGGGTGGCAGGAGACGCCAAGTCACTTACTCCACAAACAGCGCATTTTAAACAGTGTCACCTGCATCGCATGCCCCTTTTGGTCTAGCACGGAAAGGAGCTGTGCCCTGGACAGCAGGACTTGTTTCGAGGTGGGGGATCCCATCCCACAGGGCTGCGGTCACTTTGCAAACCAAGGTGGGAGACACTGGGGCGGAGGATAGGACCAGGAAACGGCAGAATACCCGTCGGAAAGGAGTTAGAATAACCGCGTCCTATCAGACAGCAACCCATGCTGGGCTCCGCGCTCAGTCTTTGCAGACATCAGCTTAGTGATCCTGAATGACTACACCAGTAGGGATTCCAGAGATAGGAAGCGCAGTAACCCATATCACGTCAGGACTGAACCTCGGCCCGATGACACAGGGGACCGCTGAGGGCCCGGGCCTAGCGGAGAGGAGGATCCGGACGGTGCCAGGGGTCGGGCTCGAGCGCGCGCTTACCGGAGTGCAGGTGAGCGCGCAGTGCGCGTGCACGGACCAGTGCCCCGAGAGAACGGTGAGTGCATGAGCCAGGCAGATGGTGGCGAGTATCAGTAGCGCGGCCTCCGGGATCTGAACCCAGCTGCTGCCCCAGCCCCAGCAGCCGGCGGCCGCAGCGCCCAGCCAGGCTGGGTAGAGGAGCCCCGCGAACGGTAACACAGTGAGGCGCCGCAGAAGCGCGAGCCGCCGGTATGGCCACACGGCCGCCACCAGCTCGTCACCGCTCGCTATGAGGGCCGGCCCGGCGGCAAAGAGCGCACGCGGCTGCGGCCCGGACTTGGGCTGCCCACGGAGCCAGGACCCGTAAGACCGGGCCCCACAGGGCACCGCGTTGCCCACCGCCGCCATCTTTCCCCAAGACCGGTGCTCGCTTCCGGGCGGAGGCCCCGCCCCATTTCCGCCAGGCTACTTCCGGAGAGTGCTGGGCGCCGCCATGATAGCCTCAGTGTTGGAAAGCCCCCAAGGCAACAGAGGCGGAGTGGTTAGTTTGGGCGTTGCCATGACAGTCTGAGGCCGGAAAGAGCGATAGGATGCCGCCATGACGGAGAGGGCTTTAGAGCAGCTTGCCCGTGCTGCCACGCCGGATTATGGCCGGAAAAGACGAGCACCGCCATGACAACCTGGGCCGGAAGAGGCGAACCCTTCTAGGGAAAAAAGAGCCAATCAGGGAAAGGTTTTCTAGGATGGGTCTTAGCATGGAGGCGGGGCTCGTGGGAGTAGGTCTTTGTGGGGCGTGGTTTTCGGGGTGGGAGCTGTCGTTGGGCGGGGCTTGTGTGGACGGACACTTATTGTAGGGACGGAATTTGTGAGGACTGCCTGGTACCTGGTATAGTCTCGGGTGAGGTCTCCTGGGCAGCCACGCCAAAGCTCCCAAAGATGATGGCTGCAGGGACCCAAACATACGCGGCTCCACTTCTGGAAGCTAAGAGAATATGGGGTGCTGAAGGTGACTCCCCTCCATTCCACCAAGCCACCAGCTGTCCTCTGCCCAGCCCAGCCCAGCCCAGCCCCTGTCAGTGTTCTGCAGCTATGCTCTCATGGGGCAGCTGGCGGCGTCCCACTCCTGTTGACCCACCCTGCTTGTGTTGGGGTAGGTATGGGGAGTGGCCAAGGCTGGAGATTGACCACACTTGCGGGACTAAAAGCAGTGTCAGCCCTGAGAACAGACACACCCCAGGTGAGACAGATGAACCAACTGGTGGGCAGAGGGCTGTCACAAGACATTGACCTGCCTGCTGTATAATACATAGGCTGCAGTCACTGAGCAGTTCTTTTCTCCCATCTGCAGAGAGAGCTCCACCTGGTCGTAGCTTTCTGCATTCTGACCCTGGTCTTCCTTTCTTGCCCCCTGGGAAGTTTGAGCTGCTCTATAGACGCAGAAGTAGGGGTGAGGGTGGGTACTTGGTGTGAGGGGTGGAGGTTGGAGGGCTTTGGGGCTGGGGGATTGGGCCCGGACCCCTCCTGCTGTTGCCCAACGTATGGGCTTCCTCCCATGCCTTCCTACACTTAAGAGGGGACCCTGAGAGTCGGCGCATGCGCTCCCACTGGTCCATACCAGGGACTGCCAGCCCCAGCGTAAGCCAGCTTCTCTCTCTCTTTTTTTTAATTTTAATTTTTTTTGTAGTAAGAATCGAACTCAGGTCCTCATGTTTGCCAAGCAGGCACAGTACAGCTGAGCTATATGCCCAGCCTTAATTTAATGTTTATCAGTACATGTTTGGAGTGCATCTGATTACACACATCAGGAGAAGCTGGTACTGGGACATAATGCATCTTCATTCTTTTTACACCCTTCTCATCCCCTCCCTTTATCTTCTCTCCATCCCTTGATCCCCTTCCCATTTGCAAAAGATCTTATCTATTTCCTGTTAGTTTTTATTTTCCTTGTGTGTAGAGAAACCATGCAGTATTAAAGCTTGTGTGTCTGTTTTAGTTTATGGTCCCAGGAAGTACATCTGTTTTTCTTCAGATGTCTTACATTTATCTTTCTTCAAGGCAGAAGGTTAGAAGCTTAACGAAGTGACTCTGCAGGGCGCACTTTGTAAATGTCCTGAGCTTGTGCAGGAGGAGTGTATGGAGTGGTGTGAATGCTATACCCCACCTGGGCAGGGGAGCCCTCCCAGCGTAAGGGAGGAAAGAGGCTTGCTCCCCGCACTTTTGCTCTTGTGGCTTTGCTATCTTCTGCTGCCTTGAAGTGTTGCCCCTGTGCCACTTCACCCTGCCCTGGAGCCAGCTGATTATGGTCCGAAATCTCTGTACACTGTGAGCTAAATAAACCTTTCCTTCCCTTCATTTTGGATGTCTGATATTTTGCCTCAGCAACAAGAGAAGAGTAACCAAAACATCCAGTTTTCTTCAAATGTCTCACGTTTATTCTTTTTCATAGCACAGTAGTACTCAATTGTGTATCAATGCTACATATTCTTTATTCATTTTTCCGGTGATAGACACATGGGATGCTCCCAAGATTTAGCTATTGTGAATGGTGCTGATAGAAACATGTGTGTATGTGTTTATTGTATGATTATCTTGACAGGTGAAGAAAAAGACTTGGACAAAATTCAATGTCCATTCATTATAAAAATACTTTTTTTTTGGTCATTTTCCTTTTTATTGGTACCAGGGATCGAACTCATGACTGCCCGCTTGCAAGGCAGGCCCTTATGCCGCTGAGCTAAATCCCCAGCCCCCATTATAAAAATACTTAAGAAAATAGTTAATAATTGACCTTATCTCAACCTGAAAAAAGCCATTTATGATTAGCCTACTATCATGTGACAAACACCATAGTAAAAGGGGGAAACACAGAAAGCTTTCCTTTTAAAATCAGAAATAAGGCAGGGCTGTCCACTATTAGTACTCTCTAGTACTCAAGACACGAGCCAGATATATCAGGCAAGAGAAATAAAAGGGAAAGGCACAGAAAGGAGGATCCTAAATTGTCATTATTTGCCGATGACACAATCCCTTACATAAAACACCCAAAAATCCTACCAAAATTATCCTAGACCTGATAATTAAATTCAGCCATGCAGCAGGGCACAAAATCAACACAGAAATCAATAGTGTTCTTGTACTTCTAATGAGCTCACCAAGAAAGAAAAGAGGAAAATGATACCTTTCACAATAGCATCAAGAAAAATTAAATGCTTAGGAATTAACCTAACCATGGAAGTGAAAGACCTCTACAATGAAAAATACAGTACTTGGAGAAAGGAGACTGAAGAGGACATCAGAAAATGGAAAGACATCTGCTGCTGGATGGGCAGAACCAATACTGTCAAAATGACCACAATACCAAAAATCATATATGGATTTAATGCAATACCAATGAAAATAACAAAAGCATTCCTCATAGCACTAGAGAAGACAGTCCTAAAATTTATATGGAACCTGAAGGAACCCAGAATAGCAAAAGCAATCCTAGGCAACAAGAGCAAAGCAGGAGGCATCACAATCTACAATCTACAATTTCAAGTTGTAGCACAACACTTTCAGGGCTGTTGGGGCCGGGGATTTGGCTCAGCCATTGGTATGAGCCCCTGCCTGATAAGTACATGGTGATGAGTTTGAGTCCCAGTACCAAAAACAAACACACAAAACTACAGTGGTAAAAGCATCATTGTGCTCTCATTAAAAGTCATACAGATAAGTGGAACAGAACAGGGGGTGGGCAGACAACCCCGCACACATTTAGGTATCCGTCATTTAATGAAGTGGCCAAAGACAATTACTGGAGGAAAGATAGACACTTTAGCAAAGGATGCTGGGAAAACTGGTTTTCCACCTTGTGGTCTTGACTCTAGATCCACGTCGGTCACCATGTACTAAGCTAAAGTCAAAATAGATCAAAAATCTAAATATTAGAGCAGAGGTACTCTTCTGGGATATATGATAGGGAAAATTCTTAAAGACAGAGGCACAGGTAAGGACTTTCTAAACAGAACTCTGGTTGCACAAAAAGGAACCTCAATCAGCAAATGGAGGACAAATCAGGAATCATTAATGCATGGATCCACTGATAATTGTAACATCCATTGAGCCAATCGCTTTCCATGCACCTGAGAGTTTTGTAGAACAGCTTAGATATAAACCATAGCAGGTGGTATGATTTACTAGATATTGTAATATTTACAGGTATATTTTAAAGTGATTTACAGAACCAAGTCTTAATCAGACAAGTGTCAATGTTCTAGGCACATGTTTTGTCAGATGCGGCCATAAGATAGTCAGACTTGGAGAGTCACTAGGCTCGGGTCCCTAATTAGCAGATGTGGTGAAACATAACGGGGAGATGAGAAGATATGATCTGGTATACATGTGGTTTTATGAATAGCTAGATTTGAAGAGGGCAGTAAAAATAACAGGCTGGACCTGATATGTGGGAAATACCAAGCACCCCAGTTGAGGGAGGAAAGGCTTGTTGAGCTCACCACCTGCAGAGGTTTCAGGCCACAGTAAGGCTGCTCTGAGGCAGGTTGGAGCAGCAGAGGGGAAGCAGGTCAGGTGGGTGGGGGGCAGCAAAGCTGGGGCACAGCGAAGAAGCAGCAGCGAATCTTCCTTCTGTGCCTTTGTATTCATCCAGGCTCCCTGCTTTTTGGGTGGTGCCACCCACACTCAAGGTGGCCTTTTCCAGATCCAGAGCAAGGCCAAGCCAGTGGACTTGTTCATTAATGTACACCCTTATTCCCAGCATCATACCTTTCCACGCTTTAGGTCGAGCTGCCTCTCAAGATCTCTGCTTGGACCACAGGAAGGTTTGGGTGTTTTGGGAGCCATGGAAGCTGGAGATTGACCACATGTGTGGGGCTAAAGGAAGGTCAGCCCAGAAAAAAGAGAGACCAAAACAAGCTATGTAAACAAGGTGTTCCAGCATCAAGAAGGCCAGGGGCCCAGGCCTGCCAAGCAGTGGATTGCTGGGCAGAGGGGCTGAAATTGACATCATCTTTCCCAGTGTATAAATACAGGCGCTGCAGGGGTTGAGCAGTTTCTTTCCTCCCATCAGGAGGATAAGGGCTCCACCCGACCCCATCCTCTCACTGGTCCTTAACCCCAAGAACCTCAGGAACCACATTGGGTCGAGGCATATGGTGCCAGAACGTGGACAGGGTAAGAGATTGCATGCAACTAGGGGGAGCAGTGCAATGGTACAGGTCAGTAGTCATCACCGGAGTGTACTGATACTTCATCAGGTGTGGAGTGGGACATTGAAACCCCCTTATTCTCTAGGCCCAGTTATAAACAGGCCTGTGAGAAACCCCTTCCCTGACAAGAAAAAAAAAAGAGGCATATTGATTATCTTAGCTGTCTAACTATGGGACAAACTTATCCAAAAGAACCACAAATATAAGAAACTGTTTGTTGCATGTGTGATCCCAGTATTCATATCCTTCTGTGGATCTGGAGTAGAAAGTGTCTTAACAACCTTAAGCTTCTTGAGACAGTTACAAGGGAACTGGCTCCAGGCACTGTTTCAGAATCAGGTGTCGAGCAGGGAAAGATGGCAGCAGGACCCCTACCCTGATAATCTTTTTTTTTTTTTTTTTTTTGTCTTTTTCCTTTTTATCGGTACAGGGGATCAAACCCATGACTGCCTGCTTGCAAGGCAGGTGCTTATGCCGCTGAGCTAAATCCCTAGTCCCCTACCCTGATAATCTTAACTGAGCCACTAAGTGTCCACCAACAAAACCTTCCACCATCTGTCTGAAGTGTAGAGGACGGGATCATCTGGCCACTCCATGTAAATTCAAAACTTCCTGCAGGGCCTGTGGCATCCCTGCCAAAGAGTAGGGTGTGGCGGCTCAGGCGGCTCCTGGGATGCCTGGCCCTGCTTCCCTGGCAGGCGCCTAATGGTTGGGGGTAACATGGTCCTGATCCGTGGTTTGCTGATTTCTGTTTACAAAATGCTCTTACAAAAGACAATTTCAAAAAACCAATATGACAACAACTAACCTTTAAAACTTCTAAAAAGTTAACATTTGGCTTTCATAGCTGGTAACAGGCTGCTCCAGCATATCACAGTCTCACTGTGGCTCTGTAGTGGGTCTTAGTAGCTGGTAATGGAAATTCTCAAACTCCATTGTTTTTCAAAATTGTTTACTACAGAGGTACTTGTTTCAAATTCAAGATTAATGGAACTCTACATTTATTTAGGTCCCTTCTGCTTTCTTAAGTCAATTTTAGTTGTCAATAAACTGACGCTACACAGCTTGCTAAATTTCTTGAGTTTGTCTCCAGAAGAAGAAATTGTAAATTTACACACTTGGGGGGAAACTGAGCTTAGAGCAAGACTAGAGAAAAAACAAACCAACACAAATCTAGCTGGCCCTCTACAGATTTCAAAGGTTATTTAATAAAACTGCAGCTTTCTGTTCCTCTCACTACTTCTCACAGGCCGGGGCAGTGGAGGGCACCAAAGCCTCCACTGAGCCTGGAGTTTGGCCCAGACAAGAAGGGTGAAGAAACAATGTTGCTTATTTCAGCTGCAAGGAGAAATCAGGGTTATGGTTCCATCTACTCAAAACACAGTCAAATGTCCCTAGATCATTGTATTGCTCAACTGGTTATTCTTCCCTTGACAAAAATTGGAAAATCTATAAATAAAGGAAGGGTACCTAAGGACCCTTTCTTTCTGACACTTATTAGAGAGGTGGGACATGGCTTGGCCACCTTAAGCCACCCTGATTTTTCCTATCACCTGTGCACATGCTTTATGAATTAAAAGTTTACACTGCACTGGTGCTCTGATCCCCAACAACAGCGGGGCCTCTACCACAGAGCAGGAGCACCACCTGCATGTCACAGGACAGCCTAAGGTACCTAAGTACAAAATGCAGTTTCCATTTTCTTTATGCTTTACCACAAAAAGTCTTTATAACCATTAGGTCTAAAAGTAAGCTAAATGTACTCACAATTTAAACTAAAAAAAAAAGCAAACAAAAG